ATAAATAAACGTTGAAAAAAAAAATTAAAAAAAAAAATAGATAAGTAAACTAAGATCAAAATAGTTGTAGTGGCTGAAATAGTGACAAACATGACTCATCAGTTACAGGTTACTGCTTCTACCACAGATGACATCATGGACAACTAGCCAATGTTACTTCTGGTAGTAACTCTTAGATGTTAGGATTCAGGGTCTGATAATTTTCTAGTTAATTTAAATAAGAAATGAAAGGGGATAACGGAAGCTGACATTCTCTCTGATATCCTTAATATATATACTATCTAGACTAAGAGACAAGACCCCAAGCTGCTTTTACATTTGCTAATCCCATCTCATTTGACATCTGTGGCTGACAGGAAACAAGGGAGAGCACCAGCAGAAGCCAATCAGAGCAAGTATATTGCTCTATCACCTATTCCCTCCTACCATTATAATTCTAAAAATAAATGCCGTGCATTCTGAAACTGTGTTGTCCAAAGACAACTTCAAAGTAAAAGTGGTCTCAAATGACAAAGTAAGAAAAGTGTTGTTGGAATATGAGCAATTTTTTCAGGGCTGGTCAGCAAAGTTAATTCTAAGTATTGCTAATAACAAAGTAATGATTGATTTACAATCTCAGTGCGATATACCTAAAACTATCATCTACCCTGGCAAACTAACTCTACCTCCTATGTCACAAGTTGAAATGTTTCTAGGTACCCAAGGTAGAAATCTAGAAGGTCATTCTTCACATTGCCTTCCTCACTTCCCATATCCAACTGGCCATATCTATTCCCTCTCCTAATATTCTTGCATCAGTACTCACCTCTCTAGCCCCAATCACTGAATCCCTTTGTATAGGGCCTCATCATTTCTGACCTAAACAGCTGCAACAGTCTTGTCTTCCTGCCTCCAATAAGGTTTTCCTGTAATCAACCACATAGCTATCAGAATTACCTTTCTAAAGATCTGATATTACATTCCTCCTTAAAATCTTTAATGCTTTCAGGGTGCCTGGGTAGCTCAGTCAGTTAAACACCCAATTCTTGGTTTTGGCTCAGGTCATGATCTCACGGTTTGTGGGTTCAAGCCCCATGTCAGGCTCTGTGCTGACAGTGCAAAGACTACTTGGGATTCTCTCTCTCTCTCTCTCTCTCTCTGCCCCGCCCTTGCCTTACCCCTCTCTCTGTGAAAATAAACTTAAAAAAAATTTTTTTTAATCTTTATGTCTTCATGACGAAACCCAAATTCCTTTATATGACCTGTCAACAAAGTCCTTCAAAATCTGGCCTCTGTCAACCTCTCTAACTTCATCTCCAGTTCCCTGCTCCAGACCCTACACTCATCATACATAGTTGTAGTTGCCCAAACACAGAACACTTGTTTTTGTCAGCACTGTCCTTTGTCCTTCCTCCTTAACTCACTTTTTCATCTGGATAATTTCTACTTATCTACAGAACATACTAGAGGATTGTTGAATGCAAGAAGCCAGATTTGGGGTCAACCAGCCCCCACAGGAGTATTAGCTGTTCTTCCCCTGTGTTCCTATGATGCCCTGGGAATACCATGGTCTGTCTCCTCTACCAGACTAAGCCAGGAAACAGGACAGTGGCTCAGATATCTATGACCCTAGCATATAGTACTTGGCACATCTTGGTGCTCAATAAACTCATATTCCACCCAATGTCTGCCAAGCACTTATTACTTACATGGGCTCCCAGTCTCTGCTTTATATTTGGCATTATCTTTGCTTCCTCAAGTCCCCATAGATCCTGTATGCAGTAGCTCACTATCCACACTGATTCTTCACTGTCCCTAACAAGTAATTAGTGTACTCTAAATACGTATTTTTGATCACTACTTCCCAAACTCCATTGTACTTCAGAAATATGCAGTGAGCTTGTTAAAATATATCCTTGGGCTCAACTTCCAGAGATTCTAATTTGATAGGTATGGAATAAGTCCCAAAATGTGTTTTTCTAACAAACTCTCAGATGATGCTGATATGTTACTTGTCCACCAACCATAGTTTAAATAGCACAGTTTTATTTATTTTTTTTTTTTAATTTTTTTTTTCCAACGTTTATTTATTTTTGGGACAGAGAGAGACGGAGCATGAACGGGGGAGGGTCAGAGAGAGAGGGAGACACAGAATCAGAAACAGGCTCCAGGCTCTGAGCCATCAGCCCAGAGCCTGACGCGGGGCTCAAACTCCCGGACCGCGAGATCGTGACCTGGCTGAAGTCGGACGCTTAACCGACTGCGCCACCCAGGCGCCCCTAAATAGCACAGTTTTAAATAGAATTCATTTAAGCCAGGTCAACTGGAGACATTAATTTTATTTATTCTATTATGGTGTTAAGATTTGATACCTAACTAGTATCTACATCTACCAAATGAGCAGAATAAGATTATCTGAATTTTTTTGTATTCAGCAATAATAATGTGGTAAAACAGCACAGCAAGGGTAAGCATCTTTTAAAGATCTACAAAGTAGGAATAAAGCAATCAATTACCACACAAACATCAAGAAATTCAACTAGAAGTCGCCTTGCCTCGATGGCAAAAGTAACTTCAAATATTAACAGTCAGAAGTATACACATCTCTCTTCTTCCAAATATGCTCAATCTTAACTACATTTCCCTTTCACAAAAATACTGTTTTTTGAAATCACCAATGTAATAACTGATGCAGGGAAAAATCATCAATGGACACTAAAGCCCCTGGATGAAAGTTGTATAGGAATAAGATAATCGGATGGTATCAGAGTATTATCCCAGATGACTTACTACTTATAAAAAGAGAAAGAATTTATAGCAGACATACCTGGAGGATACTATTTAACCAAATAATCACAGTCACCTTTACCAATAAAGGACAAACTGACCTTATCACTAACCCTGTTGTGATACAATGGAATGTACACAGCCACCTATGCAATATTCCTACTAAAAATGTTTCATCTGAATATATCTAATCATGAGACAATCAGACAAGTCCAAATTGTGAGAAAATGGCCTGGACTTTTCAAAACGTGAATATCATGAAAGGGGGAAAAAAAGGTGATATTTTCTGTAGTAGAAAAGAAACTAAACAGAAATGATGACCAATTGCTGGGAGTGCTCCAAAAAAAAAAAAAAAAAAAATCCCCCATTGCTCTAAAAAGTATTTTGGAGGCAAGTGACTAGGTTGAATATAAAAGACAAATTCTTTGGGCGTAAAAATGGTATCATGGTTAGACAGGTATTGTTCGTTGGACATGCATGATGCAGTATTCAGGGGAGAGATATGGTATCTCCTACTTACACTGAAATAGTTCAGAAACATACACAACTTGTAGCTAACAGCTGACAACTGGTAAATCTAGGAGAACAGTGTATGGATGCTAATTAGTCATTCAACTTTCTTATCAGTTTGAAATTTTTCAAAGTATAAAGTTAGGAGAAATACTAAAAATTTAACTGACTCTAAAACAGAACTAGTTAATCATATCCTTTTATACTTGTCATCTATCATGCTATAATGTTCTAATCCTGACAGGTAATTAAAAATTTTTACATTAGCACTGGGAACTGTGAACCCACTTCATTTATCTGTACCTCGTTTACCAAGCGATGATCCAGCAAACAAACAGCCAGTAGATGTCTCAGCAATAATGCTAAATAGGAAAAAAAAAAAAAAAAAGGATTACTATCTATGCAATAAATATTCTAAAATTACACACAAATACAACCAGGGGAATAGTGGTTACTAAATATGTAGAATCAGATCTACTTAGTAAACTGCAAAAGTGAAATTCTTCACACAGAGAGCAGGATGATTAGCACTCTCCATCTTCATCAGGGCATTAGTACCCTTCAGCTCATCTGACAAAAGTCACACTAGATTCTAATCCGTTCACAGGTAAGGAATGGCTCTCCTTGAAGTTACATCATTCACACTAAATGATACCATTTCTACTGTACTATAAAGTGTTTTATTATTATCTAAAGTGAAAAGGTCTTCCTACATGTTTGAATGTAAGTGACCAACTTAACGTAGACTGCTATATCCTTAGGATGTTATATATGAACCACAAAACTAGAACTTTTGATACACAGAAAATAAGGAGGAAGAACACTACCAAAAGTCATCACTCCCAAGAGAAGCAAAAGAAGAAGAAAGGGAGAAGAACTATAAAAACAACCAGAAAACAATGAACAAAATGGCAATAATTACATACCTATCAATAATTACAGTAGCCAATAGCAACTCAAGTGTCCATCAATAGATGAATGGGCAAAGAAGATGTGGTATACACAATGGAATATTACTCAACCATAAAAAGGAATGAGAGCTTGCCATTTGCAACAACATGGATGGACCTAGAGGGTATTATGCTAAGTGAAATAAGTCAGATGAAGAAAGACAAATACCACATGATTTCACTTACATGTGGAATCTACAAAACAAACAAAAAGCACAAAAGACCCATAAATACAGAAACCAAATGGATGGTTGCTAGAGGGGAAGGGATAGGAGGATGGGCAAAATGGGTGAAGAGAATTAAGAGATACAGGCTTCCAGTTGCAGAATGAATAAGTCACAGGGATAAAAGCCACAGCAAAGGGAATACGGTCAGTGGTATTGTAATAGCACTATAAGGTGACAGATGGAAGCTACCCTTGTTGTGAACAAAACATAACATATGGTCAAATCACTACATTGTATACCTGAAACTAATGTAACATTGTGTGTCAACTATACTTCAATAATAAAAAAAAACAACTGTATTTCTACAGAAATTTTTGGTTTCATTTTAGTTTTTAGATAGTGGTATCAAATGCAGAATGTTTAAATCTGCATTTAAAACCTTTAGTAGAAACTCCAAAAAAGACTTTCTATCCATAAGAGATACTCTCATACTTCAAAAACTCAATTAAAGCAGTCTTAAATTTGGGGTACAGTCAGTGGAGCATGCAACTCTTAATCTCAGAGTTGTGAGTTCGAACTCCAAGTTCGGTGTAAAGATGACTTAACAATGAAATCTTTAGGGGCACATGGGTGGCTCAGTCAGTTAAGTGTCCGACTCTTGATTTCAGCTCAGGTCAAGCCCTGCATCAGGCTCTGCACTAACAGCACAGAGCCTGCTTGGGATTCTCTCTCCCTTTCTCTTTGTCCCTTCCCCACTTGCACGTGTGCATGTGTGCATACTCTCTCCCTCAAAATAAATAAATTCATGAAAAAATAACTTAAAAAAAAAGCATTTTTATATTAAATCAACAACCTGTAATTAAATAATATAATGTTTTCTTTTAAATTTGTTTTAATGTTTATTTATTATTGAGAGACAGAGAGACACAGAGCATGAGCAGGGGAGGGGCCGAGAGATGGAGAGATACAGAATCTGAAGCAGGATCCAGGCTCTGAGCTGTCAGCACAGAGCCTGACACGGGGCTCGAACCCACAAACCGTGAGATCATGACCTGAGCCGAAGTTGGGACACTTAACCAACTGAGCCACCCAGGCACCCCTATAATTTTTTCTAAATAGACCTTTGCCATATCTAATATTTACATGTACATGGACTTCACATTTGAAGTACAGAAAAACAACTAGAAATATTTCTCTCAGGATCAGCTTCAAAGGCTAACTTCTGATTAGCTTAAACATTTAAGTTCTCTTAAATGTTAAGAGAAATGTTAACAGCAAAAGGGCTCTTACAATGTAATAAAAGGCAAACCATCCTCAGGAAAAAAAATCCAGAATAAAATAATCATCTTAATTCATCACAGTACTGGTTTGGGTAGGACTATCCTTAAAAATGTGCCTTTTTAAAACTGTAAAACTTAAACAAAAGAACTACAAATATTTAATTTAAACAGGATAATTACTTCAGAGCTCTCAATCAGTATCCAGGAAAAAGTACATTGTCTTACATTATCCCATTTCCATTGCCAAAGGCTTGGTCTTTAGGTTCCTGAACAGGCTGGATGTTAACATACAGATCCCTAATCTCCTTTCTGATGCATCTTACAGCTGCCGCCGCCATATCTTTTGCCACCTATTTTGGCAAGACAGAAAAAGAGAGTAAAATAAGGATTATTTTGAGTTGTTTTCAAGCCTTCAAAGACACATACAGTAATGAATATCTCTTACAGGGATTAAGAAAAAGCTTGATCTTCAAGTGTAACACATAAGTTCAGGGGAAAGTTTTAATTAAAAGATTTATTAAAAAATTAAGTGCTCTGAGGCACCTGGGTGGCTTAGTCAGTCAAGCATCTGACTTCAGCTCAGGTCATGATCTCGCGGTTCATGAGTTCAAGCCCCACATCGGGCTTGCTGCTATCAGCTGTCAGAAAAGAGCCCACTTCAGAACCTCTGTCCCCCACTCTCTCTCTGCCCCTCCACTGCTCACATGCTCGCTTGCGCTCTCTCTCCAAAAATAAATAAAACATTAAAAAAATTAAGTGCTTTTGGGGTGCCTGGCCTGTTCAGTTCATAGAGCATGTGACTCTTGATCTCAGGGTTCTAAGTTTTAGCCCCATGCTGGGTGTAGAAATTACTTAAAACTAAAATCATAAAAAAAAAAATATTAAGTACTTTCAATAATTTCAAAATTTAGATGATATAATACTTACCAAGACCCACATACACTTCTAGACAACTTACTTTAAATGGCAAAACACCAGCAACAAAAGCTCTTCCATATATCTTAGTCACAGAGCCACGGTCCGTTAAATTTATTGGGTTCAACTGTTTAACAGGTGACATTCGTACAATCACTTCACCACCCCCTTTTGGGTAGTAGCCCCTACAAAGAGTATGACAAATACTCACATAAACTTATTATATGATAAAAATACAGCTCAACATTTACAATAAAATAACACATGAATTATATCCAAACATACAACTCGTGTTTGAAATTTCTAAGCAACATTTTAGATCTGTGCTGTCCAATATGGTAGCCACAAACTACATGTGACTATTTAAATTTAAATTAAATTTAAAACTCTGCTTCCCAGTTGCACTAGCCACATTTCAAGTGCTCAACAGTCTTATGTGGCTAGTGGCTACCTTACTGAACAGATAGGGAACATACCCATCAATGAAGAGAAATTCTTTTTGACAGTGCTGTTTTAGAATATAAACTCCTTAATGGCAGGAGTTTGTCTATTTTCTTCCTGCAATATTCCAGTGCCTAAAACAATGTCTGATACATAGGAGATACTCAATAAAATACGATGAATATTAAGTCAACACAAACAAAATTTTAACTCAAATATTTAGTGTCACTTATTCTATAGAAGAGGATGGGAACATACAGATGAGAGTAACTGCTCCTATTTGCAAGGAGCTCCCTCATCTGGTAGAGAGATGGCTCTACATACAACTTACTGGAACACAAGTCAGGCTGTAAAAAAGACTACAAGAGGGATGCAAATATGAATTCCAACTGAGACACGCTCATGGACAATTCACACAAGAAATTACAGGTTCAATTTTAAAAAAATATAGGATTTCCAGTTTTTAGGAGAGCAGGGAAGGAAAAACATGAACAAAGACATGAAAGCCCAAGGCACAAAGTAAGTTTAAAGAATAGTAAGCAATCATATGTTAGAATACATGGAGGACAGGGGCACCTGGGTGGCTTAGCTGGTTGAGTGTCCAACTCTTGATTTCAGCTCAGGTCATAATCCCAGGGTCATGGGATCAAGCCGTGAGTCAGGCTCATCCTGAGCGTTGGAGCCTGCTTAAGATTTTTTCTCTCTTTCTTTCTGCCCCTACCCCCTGCCCCCACTCATGCTCACTCTCTCTCTGTCTTCCAAAAAAAGAAAAAAGAACACATGGAGAAGGTGGAATGAAGTTAGAAAGGTCAACTGCAACAGGACTGCAGCACACTTAAATGCCACACCAAGAAATCTGGCCTTGTTATTATGTGGCAGAAGGGAAGCCTTGAAGGGAAATAACCTGAAAGTCCAATGTGCTTCTTAGGGAAACAATTCTGATTGCACCGTGGGAAGAATCCCTTTTATGACCCTGCAGTGCCTAGTCCAGTTGTCTGCGCATAGAAAGTATTCAATCTGTGCTGAACATGAACAACACTAGGTATGAAGGTCCCTCAGTGTAGCAATTCCCTTGAAAATATTTCTCCGAAGAAACAAGCAAATACCATATATATCTGCTTTCAAGTCCCCATGCGCCTGCTGCTTACTGTTTTTAAGCCATAAAACATAATTATTTTCTACAAGAAGTAGTGGGTTCCAGAATAATTCTCTAAGGTCTAAGCTTCCCCACTATCTTTAGCACAAATAGTGGGTCAAAGGGCTAACAAATAAGTAACTTACCTCATTTTAATATCACAATTAAATTGGAAACCAAATTTTTCCACAATTGGTTTGAAAACCTGGAAAATCAGTTTATTGTTACGTTAACCACAAATATTCACTGATTCAACAAGTATTAAACAGTATTATTAAACAAAAGTGCTCTGCACTGAGCTGACAAGAAGGTATTACAGATAAACACTGATATAAAAATGTGTAGGGTAGTTCTATTTCTCAAATAAAATAACTGACATGTAAATTAAATTAAAATTTTAACATTTAATTAATCAGGGTTGTGCAAGTCTATCTAATGAAAAAAATACCAGAACTCACGATCCTTGATCCCAGTGGTTATTTTACTCCACAGGACAGTATTTCCTAACTAATCCTTTGCAATATAATACATAAGAAATTAGGGGATATTGATAAACAGCATTCCATTCTGCTTTCTCAATTTTTTTATACTTTGAAATTTCACTGCATATTCAAGGTTTTATCCTCATTTTTTCCATTTAACATTATAAACAAAAGCCTTTTCCTGACATCATAAAATTCTTCCTAAACAGTATTTGAATAACTGTATGGAATTCTAGCATAATTTACTGAGCCATTCCCCAAGTGTTCACTTGCATAATTATATATATTATATAATGATGATTATAGTATATAATGCTCTGCTCAAATACCTTTAACATTTATCTTTGGCTGCATTCTGTAACATTTAATTAGGGTCATTTCCTTGAAGTGGAATTATTAGGTGAAGAGAGATTAACTTTCATTATACACCCTATTAAATTGAATTCTAAAAGATTATACCATCTATTAAAATGGCAAAAAAATTAAATTAAATATCAAGTTCTGTGAAGACGCAGAATAGTTGAAACTCTTATACAGTGCTGGTGAAAATGCAGAACAATGCAGCCACTTTGGAAGCCAAAACAATTTGGCAATCTGTCATAAAATTAGATCTATACTTACTATTACCAGCAACACCTCTCCTTGGTAATTACCCAAAAGAAATGAAAACTTATATTCACCGAAAAAACCTGTATGTAAAAGTTTATACAGACTTTATTCATATTGCCAGAAACTGGAAACACCCCAAATGTCCTTCAACAGATGAATGGATGAAGAAACTGGGACATCCGTATAATAGAATACTACTTCTCTTTTATTGCTAAAACAAGTGACATTGATGAATCTCAAACAAATTATGGTAAGTGGGGGGAAAAAAAACAGGCTCAAAAGGCTACATACAGTATTACTCCTACATACGGTGTTCTGAAAAAAAGACAAAACCAAGACAGAAGATAGATGAGTAGTTGCCAAGAACTGGGGCATAGGGACTGATTACAAAGGGGTCTGAGGTAATTTCTTACGGTAATTCTGTATCTTGATTGTGATGGCTGGTTCACAAGCATATGTCAAAAATCACAGAACTTTACACTAAAAAGGTGTATTTTACTATAAATAATTATACCTCAATAAATCTGGAGGAAAAGAAAGATGATACCACTTCTCTCTCCTACTAAGTATGCCAACACTGAGTGTCATCATTTTGAAAATTTATAGTCAAAATATGGTATTTAATTTTTTATAGTTTATCTAATTAACATGGATCTACCTCTTAACAAATTTTTAAATGCAGTATATCCTATTGTTGACTATAGGTACATGTTGTACAGCTCTCTAGAGCTTATTCATCTCGCTTAACTGAAATTGTATGCCTGTTGATTAGTAACTCCCCATTGCCCTCTTCCCTCTACCCTATTCTACTCTTTGATTTTATGAATTTGATTACTTTAGATACCTTATACAAGTGGAATCATGCCAGTATTTGTCTTCATGTGACTGGTTATTTCACTTAGCATAATGTCCTCAAGGTTCATTCATGTTGTCACATATTCTAGAATGTCTTTTTTAAGGCTGAATAGTACTCCACTGTATGTATAAGCCACATTTTCTTTATCTATTCATCCATCAACAGACATTTAGGTTGTTTTCTCATCTTAGCTATTATGAATAGTGCTGCAATGAACACGGAAATGCTAATATCTCTTCAAGATCCTGAAGATAATCCCACTCAAAGGTGGGATATCTGGATTATATGGTAGTTTTGTTTTTAATTTTTTGAGGAACCTCCACACTGTCTTCCATAATGTCTGCACCATTTTGCATTCCCACTAATACTGTGCGAGGGTTCCAATTTCTCCGCATCCTCCTCAATTCTTGTCAAACGCATGTTTAATTTTTGTTTTGAAGTTTTTCTTCCAAAACATAATTCCTGTATTTATAAAATGACTGATTTATATAATACGTAATGTAATTCACGCAACAATTACACTTGAGGTTTTAAAAGAATTCACTATGAGCACTGTTCCAAGATACAACACAAAATCTAAAGTAAACACAATCTCTTACCTTCTCCCACAACAGAACTACACACCATAAAGAAATAAACAGGCATACACAGAAACCACTCAGGATATATTTCAATAGAGAATGGAAATTCAGAAGAATACATGAGATCATCTTTAGTTCATCAATAACAACACAAGCTCTTACCATGGCTGTGTAATCAATCTGTGGTGCCATTTCAGCATTAGTTCCACCTTTTAAACGAAGTTCTGATGGAGAAGCAGCAAAGAGAACACAGGGCATTGAGACCTGCATCAAGAGGCACACACTCCTAAGGAGAACACAAAACAGGCTTCAATGAATTTTCTTTTCAAAGTCTTAAGATCATGGTATTACTACACAGCACCATTCGCTGAGGCACAGACAACTGGGAAGGCAGGTGTATACCCAAGTCTAAAGTTAAAAAATACCCCATTAAAAAAAGAGGGGGGCGGTGCACCTGGCTGGCTCAGTCAGTACAGCATGCAACAACTCTTGATCTTGGGGTTATGAGTTTGAGCCCCACGCTGGGTGTAGAACTTACTTTAAAAAAAAAAACACCACCACCCCAGGAACTGAACGATAAAATCCTGAATCTTAAAGAAAGACAGTATTTTATAGGAGAAGGAACTGGCCTTGAATGATCAGCAAATCTGGGTTTGAATCAAACATTAGTTGTATGATCTTTCTTTAATTTACAAAGTAAAAAAAGATTTTTTTTAAATGACACCATTTTTATAATATTTTTAAAAATTTTTTTAAATGTTTTTATTTATTTTTTTTTTTGAAGGCGAGAGAGAGACAGAGCATGAGCAGGGGAGGAGCAGAGAGAGAAGGAGACACAGAATTCGAAGCAGGCTCCAGGCTCCAAGCTGTCAGCACAGAGCCTGACGCAGGGCTCAACTCACAAACTGTGAGATCATGACCTGAGCCAAAGTCAGACGCTCAACCGACTGAGCCACCCAGGTGCCCCAATTTTTATAACATTTTCATAAAAGGATTCTTGAAAGTACAATTTATGAAAATGCATTTAATGCAAAGTCTAAAAACACACCAGAGGAAATAGGGTCAATTAAATTGTAATAACATTCATACAGTGACAGTTACACACACAAAGTCAAGGTCTAGAAATACTTAAATAATTTTATTTGAATCTCTACCATGCACAAGGCATTGTTCCAAATATCAAGTTAAGATACAGATCCTACCATCATGGAGTGTATGATATGATAGGATAACATTTCACAAAGACTGACAGCTGAATATTTTACATGGAAATAAGTTTAAAGGAAATAATCTTTGCTGTAACTCACCTCTGTTTGCTCATTCTAATAAAATAATGTGAGAAGTCATGAGACATAATTATAGAATATATTTTATAAAATGAAACACTTGGTCAGATTTTCTAAATGAGCTGTCATACTCATATATAGCATAGATAGACATAGATGAAGCATAGATTAGACATAGGCTCTAATACAAAAAGACTTAACTTTCTTATAGTAACAATGCATATGTACTGAAATAAACAGTTTCTATAAGTGACAATGCATTTCACTAATTTAGTAAAGATTTACTGACTGCATAATGTGGTAGATATCATAAGAGAAAATGTATACAATATAATCCCTGTTCTCAAGGAGTTAAGCCTAGGAGCAAGTGAAAAAACTAGAAAATGTTTAGTTTACAATAAACTGTAAGGTTAAAACTACTAAACTTCTCAGTGTTTATTCCCTCTGAGGAACCCAACATTTAAATGTTCTCCCTACTCCCCTGATAAAATCAGATTCTAAGAATAGTACAGAAAATCTTAATTTTAGGAATAGGAAATTGCAAAAACAAAGGTAGACAGTAGAGAAAACACATGGTACTGTAATCACAGTTAAGGGTAAAAATGTTAGAAAGTGAAGAAGTAAGATAAGTTTTCTTGCCAGGAAAAAGCTGGTTTTAGTCTCCTAAACTGAGCTGGATTCACAACTTTAAACTCATCTCTCTTACAGTCTATTAGATTAGAAGTCAAAAGGCCTACATTCTAATTCTAGTTGTGTCTCTGACTCCATCACCTTGGGTACATCACTTAATACCATTCTCTCATTCACTAAGTGGAGGAAGGATTGGAAATACATGGTTTCTAATTTCCCTCTTGCAGCTTCAAAATTTTACAATTCTATTTTAGTTCATTTTTAGATAGTTGGTTAACTATAATCCCCTTTCCCTTTTCTGTACAGGATAATACCCAAAATAATATGCTGACTATAAAGAAAGATACCTCAAAATTCCTTAATCCCCTTAGAAAGTTGTCATTTGGCAAACCTTGCCTTGGGCCTGGCAGCAGGTCCCTTTTCACAGAGGTCTATTCACAGCATTACTCAAGTATCAATTATCACTAAATATTTTCATAAACTAAAATAATCAAAATCTATTAAAACAGTTTCTGAAACAAACTGGCATCAGGTTTCCATTACTAGTTCCTATTTTATCAAATTTCCTAGTGAATGGATAGGATTTTGGTAAAAAGATATGGTTTGCAACAACAATCAGCCAAATAACTCAGAAAACACAAAAGTGCTCTCTATGTTTTGTCGATAAAAGGAAGAATTCCTGGAAAAGGATAAAGGCTCAATTTAATTGTTAAATATCTATTTTTGCAAAGGGGGAAAAAAACCCAAGATCAAACCTACAAATTTCTAAACAAGGTAGCATAAGTTATCTATTAAAAGACAACAAGGGGTGCCTGGGTGGCTCAGTTGGCTAAGCGTCCGACTTCGGCTCAGGTCATGATCTCACGGTTCATGGGTTGGAGCCCTGCATTGGGCTCTGTGCTGACAGCTCAGAGCCTGGAGCCAGTTTCAGATTCTGTGTCTCCTCTCTCTATACCCCTCCCTCACTCGTGCTCTGTCTCCCTCTGCCTCAAAAATAAATAAACATTAAAAAAAAAGACAACAAAAATACTTAGACTAAAAGTAGAATATGACTCATAATTAGCTGTAAGCCAAGAACTAAATATGCTACATACAATGCAAAAACTACTATTACTACAATGCATAAAAATTTAGTCGTTTTCAGATATTCAGTTTCTAAATAATAAAAAGAAACAAATATGCTATACTATGCACATAAGAAAATTCTAGATATAATAACAGCTATCCAAAACTACACAAAGTGTAACCCTGGAAGGTTACTGTTTTCTCCATTTAAAATGTGGGGAAAACGGACGCCTGGGGGGCTCAGTTGGTTAAGCGTCCAACTTCGGCTCAGGTCATGATCTCGCGGTTAGTGAGTTCAAGCCCCACATCAGGCTCTGTGCTGGACAGTTCAGAGCCTGGAGCTTGCTTCGGATTCTGGGTCTCCCTCTCTCTCTGCCCCTCCCCTGCTCGTGCTCTCTCTGTCTCAGAAATAAACATTAAAAAAATATTTTTTAAATGTGGGGAAACGAAAGCTCAAAGGTTAAGCAACTTGTCTAGTAAGTGGTAGTACCTGCATGTGAATCCAGGTCTAGCTCCAAAGCCCATATTTAAATGGAATATAAGTGACACATACCCTGCTGTCTTGGTATCTGCTGTGTGGACTCCACCTTTAATCTTCTCCGGTGTAAACATTATTTCTGTTGAGCCGATTTCTGCCCCCTCCAGTTGCCCATCACACAAATCTCGAATCATTTCCAGTCCAGATAAATGTTGAGGCCTTCAGGTCATAATACTGCATCAAAACGTGTGCATTCAGACTGCCTATATCCCCACATTTTATGACCCATTTATAAAACTGCAATGGCCAGAAAAGAGCAAGGTCTAACCACAACAAGTGCCATATCTTCAGTGTCAGAGCTTCTTTTGGGTTTTTATGTACCTAGCTAGACTGCCTGCTAGTTGGCATCTTTTAGGGGTCCTTCCAGACCACTTATTTTAGCTAAAACACATATGCTGATACACTGTTGCGAATGAGAAGTGTGCAAAGAGGAAAACTGATAAAACTAAATGCCGCCAATCTCACTTGCATGTCATTCAATAATCTATAGTACCTGTTACAGGCTGAATTATGTTCTTCCAAAATTCTTCTGTTGAAGCCCTAACCCCTACTGCCTCAGAATGTGAGTGTAATTGGAGTCAGGGCCTTTAAAGAGATGATTATGTTAAAGAGAGACAATCTGGGGGCTCCTGGCTGGTTCAGATAGTACAGTATGTGACTCTTGATCTCAGGGTTGTAAGTTTGAGCCCCATGATGGGTATAGGGATTACTTAAAAATAAAATCTTAAAAAAATTAAAAAGAGTTAGGGTAAGCCCTAATCTATTCTCTGTGGTATGTTTATAAAAAGAGGAGATTACCACATACAAAGACAGCAGAGGTACACATGCCCATAGGATGCCCACATGAAGAGGCAGCAAGAGAGAGGCCATCTCCAAGCCAAGGAGAGAAACCTGAAAAGAATCTTCCCGGAAACCAGGAAACCACCCCTGCCACCACCTTGATCTTGGACCTGCAGGCTCCAGAACCATGAGAAAAATAAATTTCTGTTGTTTAGGCCACCCAGTCTGGTATTTTGTCATGGCAGCTCTAGCAAACTAATAAATTCACTGCTGCAAACGACTGCTGTGACTAAGGGAATGAATGTGCACATATATCAATAATTGCCTTTTAATAATTTCAAAATGAAATGTGGATAAAAGAACACTCTAAGAGATTGCTGATCTATTACAATGCCCAAAGGAATCAGTTTGGCGTCAACCTGGGTCCCCTTCTAACAGGAGCACATACCTGAAATTTAGCTAGTGGCACGCCTAGCTTCCCAGACGGAAGAAACAAGGTCAAATGTTAAGGTTTTTCCCTGTCCACAACTAATAATTCTGGCTGTATTCATAGCTTCTTAGAGGTCTTAAGGAAAGCTAGAATAACATCTCAGGGCCCTTTCCTGAGCTATGATTCTAAAATAAGCAGGTTAAAAAGTGGGATTTTCTCTGGCCACGCAGGCTGTTCTGCCCTGATCCATCTTGCCGGCTGGCTGCTGCAAGTTCTCCAGGTACTCGGAATGCCCGATGACGCGGGAAAACATTTTAAAAGATAACGCATCAGGAAGCGAGAGAACTCTAGCCATATGGAGAAAACATGGCCTATTTTCTCAACTTGCCCCTTGAGGCTTTCCAGATTGCACAGCCCTGGTTATGGCTAACCGTCCAGGCCTGAGCATGCTCCCCCCGGGACCCTGAGGCCCGGCTGGCTACACATTCTTCAACCTTAGGACGAGATCTTCCAAGCATCACCACCCAGGCTCCCGATTCCCCAGCGCCAAAGTCCGATCAAACCCCAGACCCCAAGGACTGCAGCCCGCCCCCCAGCCCCTCCCCCCACTTCAGCCCCTCCGCCCCTCCAGCCACACCGCCAGTCCCCTAGCCCTGCGCCCGCCCAGCCGCATCTCCCAGTCCCGCGGCTCCGCCCCCCAGCGCCCCCGATTTACCTGAGGCCTGGCGTACTGCGGCCGGCTCGAATTTTCTGCACACGCAAGGGGAGGCCCAAAAGACAGCTCAGGGCTGTAGACACCCTCAGGATCTGGCCGCCCTGCCAGGGGTGCGGGTGGGAGAGGAGAGCGAGAACATCAGACAAGAACGCTCTCCTTCCCAGCCTGGGTTGCAGGGTCACCGGCCTTGCCTCGGGCCCCGTACTCACCCCTTCCATGATCCCGCCATCCACCTCCACCCGCTGCCCGGCCATTGGGAGCGTCCTGGGGCCCGGCCCGCAGCGACAAAGCCTCCGCCCGAGTGGGAGGAAGAAGAGACGCTCGTTCCGGCACCGCAGCTCCGAAACCCCCGTCCCCGCCGGGGGCCGCGGGGGTCTAGCGGAAGCGCGAAAGCAGCGCCCGCTCTCGGAAAACCGGAGGCAGCGGAAACGAACCCCGGCACTCAGTGTCCAGAACCCGGGATCTCCCTGCCCAGCGGCAGTGCGCGTGCGCGCCACGCGGTGCTTAAAAGAGGCGGTGCCAAACCCATTCAGTCAAATCCCACGCTCTCCCGAGAAGGCCTGGCGGCCCCGGAGGCACCCTGGGGCGTGGTAGGAAATGTGCGGGTTGAGGACTGGAGCCCCGAATACAGCAAAACGTGGAGATTGAAGAAAGCCTACGTTTCAACTCAAACTGGATTCTCCAGTTGTCTCTCAGCCTTTGCAAACATCTGTGCTTATGTCTGTTTTCTCGAGGATGCTGCTGTATCCAGAGCTGGAGACATTTAGAGCTGAAGATGTAAGAAAGGTCTGCATTGCAGGGTCCTTCTCTCTGGTCGGGTTTGCCTCTCTGCAGCCTGTTCTTCGATACCCATGAGCCTGTGATTACTCACAAGGGGGCTGGTGTGGGTGTGTGGGTGTAGCAGTAGTAGTAGTACTAGTAATAATAGTATTCGTTTTCTCTTGTGAAACACGATTAATTCGGGGGTGGGTGGAAAAGGGAAGAATCAGAATCAGTAATATAATGACCTAAAAAGCCAGTTATGGTGCCTTGTCCAAGAGTAAGGGCAAGTTCATGACTCCCGAGAACAGTGCAACTAACACCATTCACCTTAGGCCATGGCAGAAACAATAGTCCGCTTCTTGATCCTGCCTGTGGCTCAATTCCAGCAATAACAGAGTATCATATACTATGCAAGCCTCTGAGTAAGCAAAGAGTAAGGCACTTTCAACCATGAATTTATTGGAGGTGTATTTGAGACACTGAGAAGTAATAATTACAATGTCATCCTCAATAATAATATAAATGATATTTAACATATTATCAATCTTACAGCTAAGTGGGGAGGACAGAAATTAGAATATGATAAAGCAGAGCATAACAGACAACTTTTCTTTAATGTTTTATTTTGAGAGCGAGACAGTGAGAGTGGGAGAGGCGGAGAGAGAAAGAATCCCAGGTAGGCTTCATGCTGGAAGAGCAGCGCCTGATGTTGGGGCTGGATCTCACCACCGTGAGGTCATGACCTGAGTCAGACTCGAGAGTCAGAGGTTTAACTGACTGAGCCACCCAGGCGCCCCACAGACAACATTTATTGAGCATTTATTTGGGTGCCACTGCATGCATTCACAACCTGTTGAAGTACTACTATTTTTACCTCTGTTTTCCGGTGCATTTGTTAAACAATTTGCTACAAGTCCTCACAGTTGTTAACTAGAAGACTGGGTATGAACCTAGTGATCTGATGTAAACACCCTTGTCTACTAATTTGTGTCTACAATTTGTGTCTACTACTTTTGTGACAGAGACATTCTGGGGACACATATTCCATGTATTTAACCTAATCTGGGACATTGCAATATGAGGGACTTGCCACAAAATATTAATCAGGGAAGTACTAATACCTGCATTTTAGATTGTTGGCTTTGGCAATATATGGAGGGTAAAATAGGGCTAAGAACCTGACGAGAAAAATGACAAAGGTGTAATAATCTAGGCAAGAGATAATAAGAATTTAAAGGAAGGCAGTAGCAGTGGGAATGGGATAGAAAAGCTCTACTCCGGGGCGCCTGGGTGGCGCAGTCGGTTAAGCGTCCGACTTCAGCCAGGTCACGATCTCGCGGTCCGTGAGTTCGAGCCCCGCGTCAGGCTCTGGGCTGATGGCTCAGAGCCTGGAGCCTGTTTCCGATTCTGTGTCTCCCTCTCTCTCTGCCCCTCCCCCGTTCATGCTCTGTCTCTCTCTGTCCCAAAAATAAATAAACGTTGAAAAAAAAAAAAAAAAAAAAAAAAAGAAAAGCTCTACTCCTATTTGACATCTTAGATCCTATTGCAGAAGCTTAACCTTCTCAGAATCCTTGGCCTTCTTTCTTCATTTCTAACTTTGCTATGAAATCCTAACTGTGATCCATTTCTCTGATTCCAGCTACTTCCAGTGGTAGGAGGAAGTAAACAAGATGGTAAAACTAGCCAGGCAAGAGTAAATAATAATAAGCATTTAGGTAATGCTTTCATATACATTTTCTGTGTTCATGTTCACCACAATTAGAAATTGAGACCTAGGGAATCAAAGTGACATGCCAAAGTGACAGACGTAACAAATAAGTGGTAGAGTTGGGTTAGATCCTGGGTATTTGCAATTATCTACGGAGAAAAGACATTTAAGCTGAAAACAAATTCCTCAACAGAACAATGGAAATAAAAAAGACAATGGATTGGGGTGCCTGGCTGGCTCGGTTGGGTAGAGCGTGTGACTCTTGATCTCAGGGTTGTGAATTTAAGCCTCATGTTGGGCATAGAGCTTACATAAAAATTAAAAAAATAATAAAAAAAAAAAACAGTCATACCTTCAGAATGCTGACAGAAAATAACCATCAACATAGAATTGAGTCCCCAGCAAAATTATTATTCAGAAAGAAAAATTACCTCAAAGAGAAAGTCTGACATATAAGAAGGAAAGACAAACAAAAAAATTGTAAACATGTCAATTTTCTAAAAAAAAAACATTACATGAAATAACACCAGACAGGGGTGCCTGGGTGGCTCAGTCAGTTAAGTGTTCAACTTCAGCTCAGTCAGTTAAGTGTTCAACTTCAGCTCAGGTCATGATCTCACAGTTTGTGGGTTCAAGCCTCACGATGGGCTCTATACTGACCGCTCAGAGCCTGGAGCCTGCTTCGGATTCTGTGTCTCCCTCTCTCTGCTCCTCCCCTGCTCATGCTGTGACCCTCTGACCCTCTCTCTCTCTCCCTCTCTCTCTCTCTCTCTCTCTCTCTTTTACTATCACTCTCTCTCAAAAATAAATAAAACATTTAAAAAATTTTTTTTAAAAATCACACCAGACAACAAAAGGGTGTAAGTCAAGAGGTGGATGGAGGCACAGAATTCTAAGGTCTCCTTTGGGCATAGAGTTAAAACATAAATTGATTTAAGACTTCAAGATAAGTATGCAAGCTAAAATTTCAAGAGTAATCAATAAAGTAACATGTATAACTTCTAAATCAGCTGAAAGGAAGAATGAACTAAGGAAAGATACACTTCAATTTTTAAAAAAGAAAAAAAAAACGCTTAGATCAGCATAAAAAAGCAGGAAATAAAGAAAGCACTAAGGCAATAAAGTAGAAATAATTTCATATATACAATTAATAGAAGTGAAACTATAAAGTAATTTTCTGGTTGAAAGCCAGAGATTGTAATTTTAATAAAAAATATTCCCATTTACAAGAGATACACTTAAAATATTAAGAACCATTAAAAGTTGAAAATAAAAAAGATGGAAAAGATGCACCAGATAAATACCAACTAAAAGAGTGCTGATATAGCTATATTGATGATAAATTAGACTTTAAGCATTATCATTGACAAAAAAAATCACTACAAAATAAAAGGTTGAATTCACTAGGAAAATATAAATATTCAAAACTTTGTGTGCCCTAGATCAAGCAGATGAAAATTTAGAAAAGATAAGGATGATTTGAACAAAACAACTAATAAGCTTGATTTAATGGCAGTTATGTATTATATACATATATATTTCAATATATATTCTTCAATCAATTATTATAGATTACATATTTTCTTACAGAACTCCTGAAACATAAAAAATGACGAAGTCGCAAAGCAAATCTAAACAATGTCCAAAGATTTTCTACCATACAGGTGACATTCCCAAACCAAAATGGAATTTCATTAGAAAGTCATTCCAAAGAAGACAAGCAAAACAAGCAAAAAACACATGTTTACAAATTTACAAACACTTGTAATTAAATCATGGATAAAAGAAGAAATGTTAATAGAAAAATGTTAAAGTAGTTAAGAGTGACCCAAAATGAAAGATCTACATATTAAAATCTAAGGAATGCAATGAAACCAGTACTTCAAAAGAATTTTTTTCATTAAATATTACTATTAGAATACAAGAGAGGCTGAAACTTGACTTAAGTCCAAAAAAAGAATTAGAAAGTAAGTCCAAAAACCCAATAACCCAGTTAAGAATGGGCAGAAGACATGAATAGACAGTTTTCCAAAGAAGACCTCCAGGTATATGGCTAACAGATATATGAAGAGATGCTTAACATCCCTCATTATCAGGGAAATACAAATCAAAATGATGATGAGGTACCACCTCACACCTGTCAAAATGGCTACAGTTAACAACACATGAAACAACAGGTGTTGGCAAGGATGTGGAGAAAAGAGAACCCTCTTACACTGCTGGTAGGAATGCAAACTGGTGCAGCCACTTTGGAAAACAGTATGGAGTTTCCTCAAAAATTAAAAATAGAACTACCCTGGGGCGCCTGGGTGGCTCAGTTGGTTAAGCGTCCAACTTCAGCTCAGGTCTTGAT